GTGACTCCGGCCATTTACCCAACCGCCCAAGGTCACTCATGGCCAGCAATGGTTTTCCAGTTTTAGTTCATGTCAGCCAACTGAGTCACTGAATTACTCGGACCTCATGCCTGTTGTTCCCTACAAGTTACAAAAGAAACACATTATTATTATTTAATCGAGTACCTCCCACTGTTTGTGACATTGTTCCCTTTTCGCGCAGTCACCACTACCCGCAAATCCCTCAGTCTTGCCCCATTCTGACTGTAAACGCATGATCATGCCACGCGGCATGCCACCTACAAGTTGCGAGTAATCATTATCATTATCATTGGGATTTTTGTTGTGGAAATTCTTTCCAGGTCCGTGACTTGGAATTCAATGGTGCCCAATGCAGCCGTCAGATAAGAATACTGCTAGCCATTTAGATTTGACAGGAACGAACAAGATTCACTATGTAGACAAAAGCCTTAACATTACTTCAGAAGGTTCACCGACGCTAACACAAAATAGCCTAAAATTGCCGATAGTGCGCTTCAGATTGATCGAAAAATTCTACTTACGTCCTAGATAGCGGTGTTTTTCTTATGCAAGGGGTACGTGCCACCAGATATACGGCCGCTCTGGAGCGCACAATTTGGTCGTCTATTGATTTTTTGAAGTTCACTCAATTTTTTGAGTTCCGGGACACACCAGGTGAATTCACCGACGTAGACTTGACGAAATTCAATAGCTGACCAATGTGCTCTTCTCGATTGCCTGAGAACAGTTTTGCTGGTTTGAAACGCTCATGTTGACTACCCCATAGTTCATAGCTAGCTGATCCAAACCGAACAACTAAATCATCCCCCAATTTGTTTCTTAGCTCGAAAGCTTTTGAATCACAAGGGTTTTCCTTTTTAGCTTTCGGAAGTCAGCGTTGATAGTTGGAGTCAAGGTTTCGGGCAAATGGTGTGAAACCGTTCGTACTCTCTTGTGCCAGTGGCCGTGTAACGGGGTAACCACATTTGAAATTGTTAACCCTGTTGTGAATTAAGATATGTTTGTGCGAAGAAACAAATTTTCGCCTCTGCGCAACAATTAGAGTTGGTATAGCACTAAAAGTTTGCTAACAAGAAAAACACGATCACCAGGCGGGTGGGTATTTAGACGACGAATAGTGGGTGGTCTACGTGGATTGGAATGCAGGAAGATTGAAGCAAATAACTCTAACCCCTTTGCATTGGCTATTCCGTGATAGCCAATAAATATTTGGTAATATTTTATATGTTGATTTCAGTTTAACGTATATTATTCTGTAAAATATTTGGCGCGCTCAGCCGTAATGTAGCTATTTTCACCGACATTCACGGTTAAATGCGCTTGATTTCACCATGACAGTTCAAATTGTAATGCATTCTCACTGTTGTATTTTGAAACATTAGGGATCAAGTGACAACGTCGAATAGAAGTTATCAAGTTATGTGTTCTTATGTGGAGAGTGTACGAAATAAATGGGACGTTTTCGGTGGCGGTCGTTTCCAGGAGGTCGCCCATGCACGCGAACGCCAATGGTATGTTTCGCCCCATTTTCTGAGGAAAATTTGCGCATCGAACAAAGCTCACATTAACCAGCCGTCCATTGTATCCTTGTGCTAATCAATTTATCTCTTGTATGAAAAAATCGCTAGATTTTCTACCACACCCATGTGTGATAACTTTTTATTTTTCTCTGTCTTAGAAGTTCCGTGATAGGAAGCCCGAATGACAGGTACGGAAATTAACTACATATTGCTTGATAGAGCAGTTTTGCTATCAACTAGTAAAAATAAGTGTCGCAAACAAAGACATGGGAAGGATATCAAGTCGGATTTTTAGGTGGCCGGTTCGAATACCACTCATACACCGCTTGAGGGGCATTGATATGTTACGTGCGCGTACTATTTTGGGCCGAGGCCGAGTCCTGTTGGCATCGAGAATAGAAAATCCATGCCTACTGCCGGAAATGCGTGTGCCGAAAAAATGGATGATTCCCACACTCTGGGTGAATCGTTCTTATGCAAGTTCATCTCAAACCCAGCCGATGAAAGCAAATCCAAGTGGTGTGGATGCGGAAACTTAGGGATGGTTTGCGTCATATTCTGTTCGACCGGGAGTTGATAGCACTGCGGTTCAAGCCTGTTAGCTAGAAAGGAATCTAAAATATCTCCACAAGCCATCTCTGCTCAAGTTGTGCAGAATATTTTAACCGCAACAACCCTACAAGAACCTGTCGATGGACCTCTATGGCTCGTTGAGGATTCGCATCCTGGCACGTTGTTCCGACCGGCAGCATGGTGACTGGAAACACGCTTTTATGCGTAGTGCCAGCTACCCAGTGTTGTCGTATTTCTGTGTGCGCCTGTTTCTGGCGGACCTGTCTGAAAATGTTTTTCATGCGGCGGTCAAAGTTCACTACACACAGCATTAGTCGTGATGCGGTAACAGTACCTTAGACACCAACGGCCAGTAGGCTTCGTTGGCAGGTCACAGAGGCTGTAGTTGACGTGGTCTTTTGGTTTAGGCTCTCACCCCGGTTAGAGACAACTATCTTCCGATTCAGCATTCTGAAGGCGCAAGATAAGCTGCAGCCTCACTGTAAGAAGTTTAATGAGGTTTATGGCCTTCCGTAACTACCGTAACTACTACTACTACTTCCGTGACTACCCAGACAACATGCTCTCGATTCATCAAGATATTTGAACTGGCCTTGGACCCCTTGTTTGAGTGGCCGGAGGCAGCCATTTTGCGGTAACGTCCTGATGGTACTGATGGACACCCCGGACATGCGCGGGTCGCAGAGGCGTTCTCGACGATCAAAGAGCAATCATCGATGTTGCTACAATTCGAGGTATCGTAATGACGTGACGAGACATGTGTCGGATTCGACTTCTTCCGATTCCTCGCTCTCGAGTTCGGGTGGTAAGCGAAAGCAGTCATCCTCTTCTGAGAAAACATCCTCCGGTTATGGTTGTTCGGACCCTAAATACCCACGTACCCAGTATGACTATAAAAGGTACAATAACAGCTCTTGTCGGTTTTGTTTGGTTGTTCGATTGCTTTATAACTACGCTGAACCTATTTGTGATTGTTTTTGTCTTGGTTCAGGCGAAGACGTAGTTCCCATGTATCACATCCTAAGTCGGGCCACGCGGCGGGCACGTGTAAAGTCGTTCGCATATCCGGCGATCAGGCCCATGCGCGGGACTACCGCAGCCACAGTTCAAGCCGTTCATGCCGGTCTGACGCTAATCGTAGTCGTGACAATGTACCCTCCAACGTCAATCTCACCCAGTTGGTAATTCGCCATCGTAACCGAGCTGGGGAGCATTCGCGCGGACGTTCGCCACAGGGTCCGTTGCATAATGGGCAGCGCACATCCCCCCATAGACGAACCACGAGGTATGATGTCGGTGGGCTGAAGCGAGAAAGAAAGGCACAGAAACGGCGGGATGAAAGAGCACAAAGGAAGCTCAGCCATGAGGGCCACAAGCGCAAGCCGTCGCCCGTCGTCACCGTCGGCGATGTGATCAAGAGGAGATACCGTGTCGAGAAGATAATAGGAGAGGGTAGCTATGGGCAAGTTTTTGAATGTTTTGACATGTGCACTAACTCACTGGCAGCGGTTAAGGCGCTGAAGCCTCAGGATGATTACAAGGATGCGGCGAAGCATGAACTGCAGGTTATTGAGAGTATATCCCGATCAGATTCTAGGAATCGGTCCCATTGTATTACATCTCTTGATTTTTTTGACTGGCATAATCACTTTTTCCTCGTATTCCCGTTACTCGGGCCGAGTGTGTTTTCTTTTCTGGAGCAAAACAACTACGAACCATATCCTGTCGAACACTCGGCCTCCATTCTTCGTCAGTTGTGTGAGGCTGTGCATTTTTTACATAACATAGGCATTACGCATACCGACCTTAAACCTGAGAACATCCTTTTCGTTGACGGTTCGTATGACGAAGTGTACAGCAGTCAACGGAATCGAAAAGTGCGTCGTATACGAAATGCATCTGTCCGGCTAATAGACTTTGGCTCCGCAACCTTCGATGGTGACCATCACTCTACCACAATTCAGACACGCCATTATCGCGCTCCAGAAGTGGTAATGGATCTCGGTTGGGATGTGTCAGCTGATATTTGGTCCATTGGTTGTATCTTGTTCGAACTCGTCACGGGCCAATGCCTCTTTATGACGCATGACAATCTGGAGCATTTGGCTATGATGGAACGAGTCCTTGGTCCCATACCGAGGTCGATGATCAAGGCCTCCCGACGTCGGCGTTACTTCCGGCATGGTCGTCTTGACTGGCCCGATGACTCATCCGATGCTCGTCATGTGCGCAAAATGCTAAAACCGTTAGGCGAGTACTGGTTCTCTCATTCAGACATGTATACCCGTTTGGCATTTGATCTGGTTCGAGAGATGCTTGTGTATATCCCCTCCTCGCGAATCACGTGCAGTCGAGCACTAGAGCACCCTTTTATGCTATCATTTGATGACTAATCTGTAAATACTGTATAGATTATTTTCATTGCCTTGTCTTCTTTCTTCCTGGCTGCCAGTCGCACCTGCTCGACACTTCCGATATTTAGACGCCATTTGAAGTGGGTGGTTTTCTTGAGGATTTTTACTATGCACTGTTGGGGTACCTAGATGTTGACGGAAAGTTGCAGCTTGTGGAGCGAGCTACATACCGGATCCAATAGACTTTTATAACTTTTCAGCATATAGCTCCGTATAAGTTATGGAGAATGCATGGGTGTAAATGCAGTTTAGGGGCACGGGGTCTCCTGTATCACTATTTGGGTATCATATTGCCGTGTCAACGGAGGGAGCCCCGAAGGTTTGTATACTGCGAGTCGCCCAAGCATGGACAGGCTGCTGGTATTTGTTTTGTCTCCACTATGGTCGATTAGTTCTAGACACAAACTAGCCGGCACGTGTACGGAGTTCGTGGAATCTCGCCGAAACTACGAATATCGCTTCCCTCATGTCGATGAATGTGCTGCCCCATGTTGTTTTTTGGAAGTCCTAGGAGACTCCAGATGGCGCCTTGGACATTTTTTGGAACAAAAAGTCTTAGACTGAATGTGTTCATTATTTCTATTATCTTCGTCTAATGTGTTTACAGAATGAGCTAAGTCTTATACCATATCCTGCCGTAGCTTACGAGTGTAATGAAATGAAGCAGGGTATGCTTGGTCTTTCCAGTCAGTACTTGTCCATTGAGGCTTGCGGTCCGGAGTGCCAACGATCTTGTAACTACCATTCGGTGAAGACGCTACTCCGTTGACATGTTCGATTTACGATTCCAATACCATTTACGATGTAAGGTTTTTCTTCGGCACGGTCAGAGCAGCTGACGCTATTTTGACGTCCATTTTCCGTACGAATCTCGTGTGTTGTCTTTTGTTTTGTCGTTTTATTGTCTCGCTACTCATAGCCGTCGTTTGGAACCAATTACTTCAATTGACTGTTTACGTCCGGAAGACTAGTGTATACTAAAGACCATCCTGACATGCACTGTGGCTTGAAAGTAAATGTTTGTTTGTTTATTTTTTCCTTTTTTGGGACACAGGATGTTAGTGATGTTCTGATAGATGGAACTGGTACCTGAGACGTTAGAATGTGTCCGAAAACGAGTTAGAACAGAGTTCAGGTTTTCGCGGATAAGCAACGTTTTACTCGTCTAAGAACAAGCGTGCGTGAGCTGAAATATGCATACAAAGGTTCAGTACGACTATATATGTGTAATATGTATATAAGTGTAAAAATAAGCACACCAAAAATCATGACATTCACCCCAACATTGTTTGAATGGACACACATGAGGTGACGTAAACTTGAAGTACTGAATCAGGCTTCTCTGTTCCCCAAACTAAGGATGCATCGCTGTTCTAGAATTTCAGGATAACTCGGTTGGTATTCGGAGGACGGTACCGAAGAAGATTCAGATGCTTGAGAGCTGTCGGGCTGGTGTCCAATCGTTTCAGTCGTATCTGGGTGTTCGGTATCCCCATTGGATTCACATAGTTTGAGAACATTGTCAGTTTTATTATGAACCGCTGGGGCTAGACGGCAAAGGTATACGGTTTCGACTCGCCCGTCTCGATGAGCAATGTGTGCGTAGGGTGGGTTGCAGTTCAGAAGGCCGACTTCTACTAGTGGTTGATACTTGGATGACCTATCACCTCGTTGCAGCAGAACTAAACCAGGGGTGGTCCACCAAGATGGCAACGATATTCCAAATGTTGAGCGACGAGCGTATTGAAACAAACGTTTGTGTGGAATACAGTTAGTGGCTGTGCATAACAGTGATCGGAGGCTGTGTAGAGCATCAGGGAGTACCGATTCCCAGTGAGAAGGCGGAAGATTGTGAGATGTCAACGCTAAGCTTATTGTTTTCCAGAGGGTACCGTTGAGACGCTCAGCTTGACCTTTACACTGGATTATAAGCCGATGTGACTGATAGCAACATCTCCAGAAGAAAGCTATTGATCTCAGACGACACGAACGGCGAGCCTCTGTCGGAATGGATATAGGCCGGCATTCCGAACAGACAAGATTTGTGTGAGACAATCACAGTTGCCAAGGTTATATCCGCACACGCAAATGCAAATGGGAATCTAGAGAACTCGTTAATTATTGTAAGTAGCGATTGCGTGTATTAGATGGCAAAGGACCTTTAAAATCCAAACTCAGGCGTCCAAAAGGTTGTGTTGCTTTAATGAGTCTATCAGAGGATTTCCAGAATCTTGGCTTCAGTTCAGCACATACTTTGCAGGAGGAAATAACGCGCTTGAAATCGTCGACGGAGTAGAGGAGTTTCTTGCAACGCACGAAATGTAACATACGGGTAATGCCGGGATGGCAGAGGGAGTTATGGACCTCTCCGAGTTGGTTATTGCTCCCCATGGAAGCACATACGTTTCGTGACAGAGTGTCTGCGACATGATTGTCCTTGCCAGGTCGGTGTATGACATCATATTTGTACTCGGACAGCTCAATCCTCCATCGTTGTATCTTGTCATCTTTCACTTTACTCTTCTGTCCACCGCCGTACATGAATGTGACTGAACGCTGATCGGTGATCAGTTTGAAGGGTCTTCCGAGTAGATAGTGCCGCCATTTCCTGATGGATTCAACGATAGTGTAGGCCTTCTCGATGGCAGAATGATTCTTCTCGCTTGGATTGAGTGTTCTCGAGAAGAAGGCCACCAGTCGATGGTTTCGGCTTAGGGATGCGGCTATGGCCACATCGGAGGCATCCGTTTCAACAACTAAGGGCTCGTTATAATCTGATGTAATTAGAGTAGCATCTTCTAGTTCGTTTTTTAGGTTGTCGAAGGCTAATTCGACGTCAGCAGGTAATGGGAATGTTTCATTCTTTACTAGCTTGTTGATTTTGTCAGAAAATGAAGATATCCAGTGGGTGTAATATGCGAGCATACCGATGACGCATTGTATTTCCGTGGTAGTACACGGAAGAGGTAACTGACGGCTGGGTTCCATGCGTTCAGGGTCTGGCCTTATGACACTTTGAAAACTCAACCTAGGAGGCGGATGAATTTTGAAGCAGTGACTGTTTTGTCATCGTTGAGCGTGACCCCATACTTCCTCGTAGCTCTTAAAAATGATTGGAGATTGAGGTCGTGTTCATCTTGGGTCTTGCCACAAATAGTTACATTGTCTTTGTAGGCATACGTGCTTTTCAACTTTTCAGTCGTAATTATATTGTTACTGAAAGCAGGCAACACCGTTTGTGACACCGAAAGGTATGCGATGAAACTGAAGCAGGCCTCCACGTGCTTCGAACGTTGTAAAAAGGTTTGTCGGATGCAGAGATGGGGACTTGATGGTAGGCAGACAAGAGGCCTAATGTACTGTAGGCCTCGTAGTGCGAAATTTCCTCAGTCATTTTGTCCAAGTGTGGAAGAGGTTAAGCGTCTAGGTATGTGAACCGGTTGGTAGTTTGGCTGTAGTCAATAACCACCCGGAGTTTGTGATTGATATTCATGGTAACCAAAACCTGCGTTCTCCAGTGCGCGGCGGGCGATGCCATTGACTTCGATAGTTGTGATGGCATGTGCCAGGCAGGTAGGAGCTGCCGCAACGAATAATGACGACAAAGTAGGCTTCGTGGTACAAATTGTGTGGAACTTGGTGGTATTTTTCGAACTTCGTTACTAACATATGACTGTGACTGTTTGTGAGCCAATTCGAGGGATCTAGCCAGCTGATATGCTTGGCCCAGAGTGAGTTCGCTCTGTGCTAAAAGTTTCTCGCGGATGGACGTGGACGCCAGGTCTTTAACTATAGCACCGCGCACTGAGTCATCTTGATATTCAGTTGCAGACAGATTTAAACTCACAGCCTTTGACTAATCATTTCAGTTTTTGTGCGAAGTGATTATATCCTGTCCACTCCTGCCTGTAGGTCTGTAGCAGGTAGCGTGCATATATGACATTTTTCGGACGGACATATAATTTCCGTAACGTGTCGATTGCAGATTCATAGTCGGTTGGATCAGCAATGTGATCATATACTAACGGATCCACAAAGTGAATGAGTTTCAAGGTTGTCGGGTTTAGAAGATTCGACAGTTTTCAGATAGGTTTCGAAGGTACGAAACCAGTGATTCCAGCGTTCTGCTGCATCTGCGGAGTTTTGGTCAGCGTTGAAGAACCGAGGTCGTAATTGCGAGTCCATTATGTTCTTAGACAAGTAAATTGAGACGTTAGAATGTGTCCGAGAACGAGTTAGAACAAAGTCCAGGGTTTCGAAGGTAAGCAGTGTTTTACATATGCATACGAAGGTTCATTACGAGCATATATGGTAAGTATAAAAATAAGCACACCAAAAATCATGACAGCACCCCATTTACAGCGTGTGCTGTGATTTCAGCCGTGATGCTCTTGTAGCGACCCAGCCACCCAAATACTTGACTGTTCAACTCAGTCGCTCACTGGATCGCGAGGCTTGTCTTTTTTCCCATACGCACAAACACG